AGGAAAGAGAAAGAGGAGGAAGGAGAGGAGAAGGAGGAGGAAGAAGAAGAGGAGGAGAAGGAGAGGAAGGAGAGGAAGAAGAGGAGGAGGAAAGAGAGGAAGAAGAGGAGGAGGAAGGAGAGGAAGAAGAAGAGGAGGAGGAAGGAGGAAGAGGGGGAGGAAGGAGAGAAAGAGGAGGAAGGAGGGGAGGAGGAAAGAACAAAGAATAGCAGGAGTGAGAGAAGAAGGAAGGAAGAGGAAGGAGAGGAGGATAAAGAAGGAAGAACAAAGAAGTAGAGAGAGAAGGAAGGAACACGTATGGACTTCAACTCCCAGAATTCCCCAGGCCAGCAGGGCTGGCTGGGGGATTCTGGGAAATGAAGTCCACACATCTTAAAAGTCGCCAAGGTCGAGAAACCTAATTTATTCCTAAATCTCCGCTCCAACCTTCCCGCAGCCTCGCGTTATGTCCCTCCTTCCAGCCTCCCCAGAACTTGCAGGAAGGATTCAAATTTCTCTAGCGTCCTCCGCCCGTTTGCAAATCATTTCTTTCCTCCCCAGAGCGAGTCGATCAAACCCGAAGAATTCACCCTGGAGATCTTTGAGCGTTTCCTCAACAAGCTTTGCCTTCGTCCCGACATTGACAAAATCTTGCTGGAGATGTGAGTGAAACAGGTCCTTTTTGCGTGTCTGAAGCCGTTACGATACAGAAACTGAGGCATGGTATATATAAGCACCAACTCGACTTGTGACCATAATGTTCTTTGTCAGTTACGGTCGTTAAGTCTCAGGGATCATAAATCGGGTCCCCCATACAACCAATCCAATTTTATGAGCATCAATTTGTTGTTGTTGTTTTTTTTTGTGGGGGGGGGGTAGTACAGATCACCTTCAAGAAGTGAGGGGAGCCGAATGTCAACTCATAGAACATTTTCTATACACATTTTATAGTTGTCCACAGAAAGAAGGGGGGGGGGGTTTCAAAGAGTGTGGAATCGAAAGTATATTCCATTCATATTTTCTTCAGAGACTGATTCGATGACTGAAGCTTCGGCCACGCAAAAAATCTAATTGGAGAGCATGATTGATGACTCTTGGCTATGGGCGTGTTTCGTTGGAGAATATGAATTATGACACACCCAGAGGGGTTGGGGGAAAAGCAGGGTCAAAGGTGACAATGAATTACGTGTCTGAGAGTCGGCTATGCCCAGGTTATGCCGACATGTTGCCTTCCAGTAAATCCTTCTCTTAAGTTTTGGGAGTTTGGCTCCCAAATTGGGAGTAACTGCCGGAATCCTGACAGATGTGACTTTTTCACCCTTACGACTGTTGTGGTCACAGGATCAAAATTCAGACGCTTAGCAACTAACTCGTATTTATGACGGTCTCGGTGTCCGCAGTGTCACATTATCCCCTTTTGCAACCTGACCCTGCAAAATCAACAGGGATTTCACTTAACAACCATGTTTCTCAACGCCTGCCGTGATTCCCTTAACAGCTCTGGCAGGAAAAAGCTCGTAAAAGGGGACCAAACCTTCCTTAACAAGTGTCTCGCTTAACGACAGATATTGTCAGCGCCGTTGTCATAAGTCGAGGACTTAACCTGTATCCGACTCCTTTTTTTTTTTTAACCCCCTCCCTGTCCTTTTTCTGTCCTCACCCAATCAGCGGAGCCAAAGGGAAGCCGTATCTCAGCCTCGACCAGCTGATGGAATTTATCAACCAGAAGCAGCGAGACCCCCGTCTCAACGAGATCTTGTACCCTCCCTTGACGCGGGCGCAAGTCCGCCAACTGATCGCCAAGTACGAACCCAACCAACAGTTCCAGCAAAGGGGTAAGATACCCGATATATTTATATATACATATATATTCCAGTTTCAAACATGCAAACCTTTCGGGTTTTTTCTCTCAAGCAGTGTGTCGTCTGGGCGCAAACTCCTCTGTGCCACGTTCTTCACCATTTACAACCGGGGGTCCCCAAACTTGGCAACTTTAAGACTTGTGGACTTCAACTCCCAGAATTCCTCAGCCAGCTATGCTTGTGG